CCCCAGCAACCATACAGGAGTGCAGTGATGTAACCTCTATGAGCCTGCTGGCTCTGGCATTCTAGTTTGAGATTTATATAAATTGATGTGAAGGTATGGGTAACAAGGTGAAAGAAAATGTTTGAATGCTTATGTCATTCACAGATTTTATATTATAATCTTTATAAAAGTCCTAAAGTATGTGTCATCTTGATTTATCTTGATTTTTTTTTTTTTTGAGAGGTTTTTCGCTATAAGGGTGCGTGCGCTCGCCAGACAAACAGAGACATAGAGACAAAAAGCTAGAAATCACCCCCCCAGAGGGGATGGTCACGCTGCAATCCCTTCTTCATTCTCGGGATCTTGGGCACGCACGCACACGCGCCCGGCGTGAGTTTCAAGCCACTAGGTCTGGGACGTGAACCGCGGTCGACTACGTGGGAGTCCAACAACATAGCCATTACGCTAACTGCTGGTTTCCAATTTTTTAAAAATTTTTAATAGAGATTTTTGCTATAGGGCATGTGCGCTCGTCAGAGAAACAGGTTACCCTCTGGAGGGATGGCCAGCCCACAATCCTTTCCCCAGTCTCCTCTTGGGATCTTGGTCATGCATGCACATGCGCCCGGCATGAATTTGAAGCCGCTGGGTCTGGGATTCAAACCGCTTTCAAATGTGTGGGAGTGAGTCTAGCGATGTAACCGTTGTGCCAACTGCTGATCCCACGTTACCTTGATTACAGGAAATCAAATGTAGAATGGTTACATAATTTAAACTGGTCATAACTGAGCAAGTGATGATTGGATTCAAATACAAGTTCCACTGCTTCCTATACTATCACATTTGAACCGAGGACTATGATTTTAAAATACTAACACTGTCAAGTCTTATCCATATTTTACAATAGCAGGATTGTAGTAATTGGTAATTCTTGCCTTAGCATCTGTGGCATATTTGCTCTCGGATAATCTTTCTACCAGTAAACGCATCACCTTTGTTGTTAATGATCAACTGTGGATGTATTTTTTCACTTGAAGTTTTCAGGAGAGGGTTAAATATCGGATGCACGGTAAAAACAGTATTAAGATTTCATTTATAGTGTTCTCAAAGAGAAATGCTTTTTCCCCCTTTAAAATTCTGTTAATGATACTTTAAAAATAAGTCTCAGTGATACTGTACAAGAGACTGTTTTCTTAAAACTTTTGTTTACCCTATATGCTTAATCTGTTTAATGGATAAAGTCATTGAAATCATTGACCTATTCTGTTTCTATTTTTAAGATACTTAAGCTATTTTCTAGATGTTCCCTTCTCTTCAGTTTCATACTTTGTATGAGTTTCTGGACTTCTCTGTTCCTTTTTTTATTCTTTATGTCTCTGGGGCACCAGTCCCTAGTCTGCTGAGCCAGTTTTACAGGCTCAACCAAAGTAAGAAAATGAAATGAGGCACCTGGATGGACTTGATTCATCTCAACATTTGTGAGAACCCTGGTGTAACCCTGGTGTTTATTTGCCTGTCTGTTTTCTGATTTCGTCTTCATTTTAAACTAGGTGCCTTAATTTCTTTCTTTTTTTTTTAAGAGATTTTTGCAGGGACCAGCAGTTGTATGTTGTTAGATTCCCATGTAGTCGACTGTGGTTCGAGTCCTGGACCCAGTGGCTTAAACTCAAACTGGGCGCATGTGTATTCGTGCCCAAGTTCCTGAGAGGAGAATGGAGAAGAAGGGATTGCAGTGTGGCCACCCCCCTGGGGGGGGGTTGATTTCTCGCTTCCTGTCTGTGTCTGGTGAGCACACACGCCTTACAGTAAAAACCTCTCCAAAAATAAAGATTTTTGCTATAGGGCATATGTGCTCATGGGGGAGACAGAGAAAGAAAGCAAGAATCACCCTCTAGGGGAGATGGTCTTGCTGCAATCTCTAGTCCTCCATTCTCAGATTTTGGACAGGCATGCACACAGGCCTGGCATGAGTTTTCCCAGGTCTGGAACCCTAACCAAGGTTGACCACCTGAGGGTCCAGCACCCTAACCATCTCACCACCTGCTGGTCATGCCTGGTTTTTGTTTTTAAAGGGGATGTTAGGGGCCAGCAGGTGGCATGGTGATTAAAGCTCTGGATTCCCACATGGTTCATAGCAATTTGAGTAACGGCCCTGGCAGCTCACATTCTCACTTTCCTTCTCTCTCTCTGGTCAAATTAAAGAAGCATAATGGTAATAAAATTAAAATAATCACCCAGGAGCTTGTTAGAATTGTAGAAATTTAGGCTCTGTCCCCAAATTGTAATCTGTCTTCATTTTAACACTGTCTCCAGATGTTTTCATAAGCACCAGTTTTTGAAAAGCAATGCACTAATCCATTCACTTGTTTTACTTACAGAGGGGAAACTGTTCAAGTGTTTATGTTTAAAAGACTCAATCTGTTTTGGATATGTTTGAAGTTGGAGGAAAAGTCATGTGTCAAAATGAATTCTCTATTAAGATAGGCACAGAACCCTTTGGGATTAGGTTTGAAAGGACTTTTATTTTCTCCAGAGAGATTTTTGCTATAGGGTGCATGTGCCTGATGGAGAGAGACAGTGAAAAATCACCCTCCCAGGGAGCGGGTAGCCATGCCACAATCCCTTACCATTCTCCTTGGGATTTTGGATACATGCACATGCCTGGAGTGAGTTTCAAGCCTCGGTCCTGGACTCATACCACAGTTGGCCATGCGGGCGTTCAGCAACGTAACCATTTCACCATCTGCTGGTTCCTAAAGGACTGTTCTTGAGATTAAGGAGTTGAAAAACATAACATTTTGTGTAGAATACTATAGTATATGTTAAGAACAGAGATGTGAAGACACACGTTTGGGGTTTGCAAATGCAGAGAGAGCATGAGGGGGGGAGGAGGGGTTAGAAATTAGAGTGTAAATTTTGCTTTTGTCCTAAAGGTCATTGGCAGCCCATATTTACTGAATGCTGGGTGCCAAATATGGTTCCAAATATTTTACTCAATTATGTTAATCTTCACAATAACCCCATGTGGGTGTGTACTGATTTATTATCGTCTCTTTATAGACTGGGAAACAAGCACAGAATAAATCAGCAAATACAACTATCAAATCCTGAGAGGAAGGATTAAAGAGTAGAGTACAGTAGTCAATGCAGCAATGAAAAATTAAGGCACAGCAATGACTGGTAGTAGTCTAGTGCTTAAGGGAACCAGATCTTACATGGTTGACCATGGTTTGAGTCTTGGCTTGGAAAACACACAGGGCACTTGTGTGTGTATGCCCCAAATCTGGACAGGACAGAGAAGTGAAGGAATTATAGTGTGACCATAACCCACTCAGGAGGATATGTGCTTTCTCTCCCTGTTTTGTCTGGGTAGTACATCTGCCCTCTTGACAATAAAAAAAAAAAAAAAAATGAAGGCCAAGTGTGGTAAGAGCTGAAAATACTCATTGGACTTGGCGGTTGGATTATTGGTAAATAATATAGCAAATGTAATTTTAATTGAAAGGTGTATGCACGTGACTAAGATGGTTTTGGGAAAGTATGGGAGTTGAATTAAGTCTAAATTACAAGCTTGGGAAAGTGGGCCAGCCCTGTAGCCTAGTGGTTAAGAGAGTGGAATCCCAGTGACTGGTGGCAGTTGGAATCCTGCCCCAATGGCTAGAAAAATAGCCTCATGTGTGTGCATGTGTGTCCATGTGCAACAGGATGGAGAAATACAGAAGGGGTTGTGGTGCGAACATACCCCAGTTGGTGCTTCTCTCTGGCTAGTGCACTGGCCCTTAGGCAATCAAGTTCTGGAAGAGAAGCACTTAATGATGTAGTGGGCAGTGGAGCTTTGTGGCGACAGATCTTTGAATTCTGGCTCTGCCACTTCACTACGATGCTTAGTCAACTCTTGACTATTCAAAGAAGCCTCTTTCCTCATCCATAAAATGGGACTATTATTCTATAATACTTTGTAGTATTGTAGTGAAGGATTGAAGTATGTGAAATCTCTGGAACGAAGTAGGTATTCTATCATATAAAATTAAAAGAATGAGAAGGTTTGTTTTTTTTCCCTTTTTTCTTTTGGATTTTTGCCAGAAAGCGAGTGTGCTGTCCAGACAGGGAGAGGATGAAAGTACTCCCCAGTGAGGCATGGTCATGCTGAGAACCCTACTCCACTTCTCTACCCTGTAAGGATTTAGAAAAGACACGAGCACTTGGAAAGTGTGGGAAGATAGTCAAGTGAGACTCAAAAGTGAAGGGAAGAAAGGCTGGTCCTTGGTTTCATCACAAGTGAAACCTGTTGTGTCTAGTGCTCGCTCTACTGTTTCAATCAGAGGCAAGGGAGTGATATCACCACACCCCCAACACATAATTTTTACGAATATTTGGAGGAGTTTAGAAATAATCTTAGAAAGTGTGTGCTGGGACCAGGAGATGGAGTAATAGCTACGTCTCTGGACTCCCATGTAGTTGACTGCGGTTCAAGTCCTGGACTCGGTGGCTTAAACTCACTCAGGGCTTGTGTGCGAGCCCAAGATCCCTAGAGAATGGAGAAGGGATTGTGGTGTGGCCATCCCCCTGGGGGCTTTCTGGCTTTCTGTCTCTCTGTCTCTGCCTTTCTGGCAAGCGCACGCGCCCTATGGCAAAAAACTCTCCAAAACAAAGTGCAAATGTGGAGTTGCCTTAAAGCTAAGTATGCTTTCCAAGTATAATATACCCTCTCTGGGAAGTGGGTTTGGGGCTGATTTGGAAGCAGGGCTAATGGAAATTATGGGTGAGGCCAAGCCTCCGTTGATTTAGATACCCAAGGGCTTTGGGACTACTTCAGAGTCTACTAGATTTTCTTTTTTTCCTACTAGATTTTCTTAACACACATGTGTATGTATGACCCTCTCTCAAGGGCTTTCCTCTTCGCTGGCTTTGCGCGAGGTCTCAATGTGCGAGTCCGCCTCCCTTCCCCCATTACTGGAGAGACAAATCTGGCGAGCTCCTGGCGTTTGTCAAGGAGCTCGTGACCCGAGTTGTCTCCTAGCAACCAGACGCCAGCCTGGGCCTAGGAAGAGGAGGCCACAATGGATCAACCAATCATCCCTCTCACTTCCACCGCAGTAAGGGAAGACCGGCTTGGAGATTCGTTCGTCATGGCCCCGGTATAGTCAGTCGTCCTTTTGTTGCCCTTGCTGCTGGTCCTTTTGTCAGGACTCCCTGACCTTTCCCCACCCTCCTCTCTAATCCCATGCCCTTGTGCCTCCCCCCTTCCGCCCCCCCCCTTCCGCCCCACTTTCTGTCGTCCTACTTTTCTTTCCCTGTCCTCAGTCTATACCTGCAGTTCTTTCTTCCTGATCTTAATTTAATACTTGTTTTTCTTTTGCTGTCTCACACGTACTTTCTCTGCGCCCCTAATTTCTGTATTTTTTTTTCCTTCTTTCTACTACTAATTGTAAGATGATTAAATTTCTTTCCCTTTCCCCTCTGTGTGCCAGGAGAATGGGTTTTTCCTTCCTCAGTCTATCAGACGCATTTGTTCGCGCTACCTCCTACTTTAGTATTTACAAAATATTTGAAGCTGCTTTTTTTTTTTTTGAAAAGCAGACAATAAACAACTTTATTCAACTTGCCATCAGAACTATATATTAAAACAAATGAGATTTTTTTTTACCAGTCGGATCCACAGAAATGAAGACTGAGTCAGTTCTTTTTTTTTTTTGGAGAGGTTTTTTTTTTTTTTTTTTTTTTGCTATTGGGGGGGGGGGCCGGCCAA